TTTACCAGTCCTGAAAATATTTGCATTTATCTAAGACTCACCGTGAATTACTAGCATAGATACCTGTCAAAAAAATAAATATAAAGAAATGCGCATCATGTTCAAGTATATTATGGTCATAACTAAACTAAAATATAAATAAATGTTCAGCGATAGAATTACTGGTTACTAATTTTTTTTTATAAAAAAAAACATATTTCTGTAAAGTTAAATTTATTGTTTGCCATAATTTGTAGAAAAGTTATGAAAAAGTATAGAAATTGAATTTATTTTGAATAATACTAATTTATTTAATTTTCTGTTCCTCTATACTTCTAGAATTTTATTATTTAAAGATAACTATTTTAGCAAAATTTGACATAAATTAATATATCATATATGGGAGGCAGTATAAGAAATAATTAAACATAGAATAGAACAAAAAATTAAAGAAAAATATAACAATCATTACGTAATTTACCGTTTAATTATACATCATTTTTATATTATACATACATCAATTTTATATTATACATCAATTACATCAATTTCAAGATATGTTGAACACAAAATAATATATCTGGGGATACCCCGGCTTTGGGCCTTAGGCTTAACATCAATAAAACTAAAATAATGTGCACTTCCCCGGAAGATTACAACAATGCTATAAAAATCGGAGAACTATCGGAATATGTAGCCGAATTACAATTGCCCCAAGGAAATTATTTTACAATTGCATTCTGGAAATTAAGACAGAGTTTTCTACACTCATGACTTGAGCACAAAAACGAAACTTGCAGTGTACCGAGCAATAATACTCCCTACCATGTTATATGGAAGCGAAACCTGCGTGCCGTACCGCCTGCACAAGAACGCATTAAACAAGTTGCACCAGAGAGACAATACAGAGAGACATTAGATAACTCTTAAGAATTAAATGGTTCTACCACGTCTCAAACGTATCGGTTCTTGGAAAAGCTAGCTGCGAGAGCGATGAAGTCATAATTACAGAATCCCGTTTAAGATGGGCTGGTCATGTATGCAGAATGAAAGAAAGCTGCCTACCTAAATATCTTCTTTTTTCCATATAATAACAAGGGGTTGTTATTAAATATATTCTCTGCCGGAAACACTGCGACCTGTAAGGAAATCTCTTCTTTAAGGTTGGCTTGTATAAGATAAGAGGAAACCGTGGGACAACTGAAAATGTACATGTATATTTTTCACGGAAACTTAAAGGGGATAAGCATGCAGAATAAGTGGGAAGAAGCAGCGCACAATAGAACACAAAGGAGAAGAATTGTAAACTCACTTAACAGTGACAACCAAATAATAGAGTGGCAGCAAATCAATGACATTTTTGAATGTCCGGAGTGCGGGAGAGAGATAACATCACATATCGGGCTTTTCAGTAACAGAAAAGCTTCTGCTGCGTGTCAAATACTCGTTAGTGAGTAATGGCAGTAGTAGTAGGAATTTACTATAATAATAAATACAATACCATTAACATTTAAAGAAAATATTAGGATAACTTTAAGTCAACAATCCATAATACAACTTTATAAGAATTAAGAGATCTATTGTCTTGAAATTATAACTTTTAAAAATCGGTCGCAGTAAGCAGAAAAATATAATTAACTGTTTAATAAACTGCATAAACATTTTCCAAACTGTTGTTAGCTAAATATAGCATCGACCGTTCATACGGTAATAAAATGATCTATTACACCATAGAATATATTTAGTGATTTAACATCGATTTCGGATAAGGAGAGACAACCCAGTCCCAAATGGGAGAGGCAGATTGGATTAATTGCGTCGGTTTGGAACACATTGACAGGTCGTGTTAGTGATTTAATAAAACTTGTCTGGGGAAAATTTGACGTGCTGTGTTTGAGCGTTCAGCCATCCTGATAATAAATTTATAATTTCTATCTGGGTTTGCGCTGGGTTTACATTGGAACCAATGACCTTATAAATTAGATAAATTTAATTAATTAATTTCAACAATAATATTAGTAATTATACATTTAATATATCGTTATTAATTACTGTAATACCGCTAAAAAGAGGCGTCGAAGTTTTATTTGATATTACAATCGATGATATTTTCTGTTAGGCATGTATACCGGGTGCGTCTGAAAAGAGCCTCACTTCTATAGCTTTTTTTATTTTTTTCAGATAAAAATACGAGATTTGGTATGTTACGAGGTTTGGTATATGACATAAATTAGGATTGACTGACGTATTCAATAATGGTTTTCGGTCACTTACTGTTACACCGGAAATGACTGACTACATTTTTTGCTTTTTAAGTGGCACCCTCGTTATTTTTTTTACTTTATTCAATGGAAAATAACGACACTCTGAATAGAATGGCATATCATAGAACAACTTTTGACATTTTCGGATATGGTTTATTTGAAATTGTAACATGCGGTTCATTACGACAATTTGACTCGAAATAGAAAGTTTGTGATGCCCAATTATTCGTAAGAACTGCTTTTTTCAAATATGCTAATGAGCCTTGTTCTATTGTAAAAAATTGAGATATGGTTAAAAAAAAATAAAAAATATGTCGAAAATGACATTTTTAATTTCAAAGAGCAGCGGCTGGTAGAATTTCAATGTATTATGAAATATCTCTGGTTCTTATAACATATGATCCACTCCAAATTTTAGTCAGTTAACTTAGGGCCTACCAGAATCATGTTTGTTTTATTTAAATCAATTTTAAAATTGGCGATTTTTTTAATTTTTGCATATGGATCATAAACGTAATTTTTTTTTTTAAATAAAAATTAATTTTGCTTTTATTTATTTTATAATTTTTCTTGAATTTTATTAAATAATTTGAATATTGTTAAAAAAATCATAAACTCTGTGAAAATACTTTTTATTATTTTTTTACTTGAACTGAAAATTAAAAAAGTATACCCGGATAGAGAATGAAAAGACGGATAGGGAATGAAAATCGATGATAATTATGGCAAGGTCAAGCCCTAGAGATTTTAATGATGCTTACTGCCAGTTGGCCTTAAAAAGGTTGTAATTTATTTAGTTATAGTTTATAATTCGAGAAAAAAATATTTTTTGCAAATAAATTTGTATGTCTGGAAAGTTGCTTTTTGTCAATTTTTAGTAAATTACGCATAGAGATTGACCTCCCCAAAACTATCATCGATTTTCATTCCCCAGCCATCTCTGACGTTTTTTTTTTCGATCATACGGTACTAGATATATTCTAAGATAATCAGCAGAGGATGCTACTCAACTTGCAATAATTCTATAGATGTGTTTTTGTATAACTCAAAGTCCAAAATACTGGTTATCGTTATCAGGCGAATTAAAAAAAAACGAATCTAGCTTTTAAAAACTCGTTTTATCTCAACCACTTTACCTCTCTACGTGGACGAGTTTCAAATGCGTCTAGATACCGATAAAATTAAATGGTCTTATCTAGCAGTAAATTTAGATCCCAAATGGTTATTAAGCTGCTCAATATATGGCAATTCTTTTTCGGATAGCGATTCTGCTATTCTTTCTGGCTTATGTTCCATGAATAGTAATGCTATTCAATTCGAATCTCGATATAAAATTGAAATGAGACTGGGAGAGACCAGTTTTCAGAGAAAAGCTCACTAAGGAATGCTTCATATAATGTTTTTTGACAGCATAATTACATTTTGAAGAAACTTTTGTGACTGCGACTAACTAAGATATTTATTTTCGTATTTTAAATTTGTTTGAGAATCTGGTAATTATTTAGATAACTCTATGGTTATACAGCTAAAAAAGAACACAAACAAAATATCAAGTTAACATAGATACCTTTTGTTTTTCTTTGAACCACCAGAATTATTTAATACTTTACTATTAGAATATAAAAATAAAATAAAAAGATTGCGTTATGGAGACTCGCTCGGTTTATATTCAATACTAGAATTTAAAGGACTAATAAAAATATAGGATCTTCTTTAATGCGCAGTAGTGCACGCAACGTTTATCGATAGCCAGACGGCCCACACGCTGTTCCAGTGAGCATAGTAAAAGATATATCAAAGAGCCACACTTCTTTAAATACTTGTTTTCCCGACGTTGCTAGTTCTCGTACTATTCAATCAACATTTGTATTCAGATTTTTTATATAAATCATGACTTAGATATTATCTAAGGTTATGTTTTTAGAGGAACACCTTTTCTATTTTCTAATATTCAAATCAAAAATGCTTTGAGATTTTGAGAAAGGTAGAGCATTTATAAATATCTTTAGTATTGGCACTGTATTTAGTTAATTTCCAGATTTATAGTCAATTTACTTATTTACAATATCTAAAAAAACAATTTCTGGCTCAGAAAACATTTTATTTTAAACATTTAATGTTAAATATTAAACTGATTCAAATGTAGCTTAAACTTTACCGATTTTAGTTTCTCCCAGATTAATATGTTATATTTCTTTGTTAATTCAATTTTTATGGTAAATTTCACACTGACAAAAAGAATAACAATTTTAATATGTAATTCTATATCACTACATGTCATATGCAACGTATTTCAGTTTTTAATCATAGTTTAGTAGCTTTTTTCATTAGCTTGATTGTATTCAATTAAAAAATAAAAATTTATTGTGGATTTTAAATCTCGACCACAGATAAAATTTAGGATTAAAAGCGCACGGGCAGGACATTGGCAGAGTTTAATGTATATTTTAGCGTCAAATGCGCCCCTCTATGGCATTTTCAGCGAACAGAGTTAATCATATTATCATTTTGATGGATATTGGAATTTTGCAGACGTTAAATCCGATGGTGATTTTTAACTTTATTTTGTGCCATATTGAATTATTTACCAGAAATCTGTCATTGATTGTGGGATTGGTGTCAGTTATATCTTGCAAAAAATTTAAAATAGTATTTTAAGAAATAAAATTTATTTGTACATATCAATTTACTAAACATATACTATTTTTACTATAAGTAATGAAATATAATTAATTTAAATAAATATTTTTGTTACAGGTTTCTTCAAGAGGCAGTTCTAGGATGTTGTGTTGTTAAACCATTGGAGTACAAAAGGAATTTAAAATTATGGCAAGAGTACATCACTTACTTATTATTTTCTCTATTGGTAAGTATTGTTATCTGGATTTGCATAGATAATTTCGTTTTTTTTCTGTAGAATATTAGATGTAGCTAAGAATGAGCCAGTTTATTAGCCAATTATTTACAAAAAAAATACTGTTAGCTAAAAAATATGAAACAATTTGTTTCTATACAGGATGAGACTTAAGTGCAAATATTTTCAGGGCTGGTAGATCTCGATAAAAGAAACATATTATTTTTTCTTTACCGCTTTTAAAATAAATCTAAAATAACCGAGTTATTTTACTTTAGAAATTTACAAAATAAAATATTTTTTGTTAAAATGTTGATAACTACTGGATCTTTTCTGGATTTTCTTTCCTGCAAATTTAATCCACTATCGATGTTGCAATATTATCTTAAAATTATGTTTGTTTTTAACTAAAAATTAAAACCAAATCAAGCTGATCAATGTCATTCACAGGTACAGAACCCTTCTTTGGCGCTTCAAAAACAGTCATAAAATTGGTCACATAACAGTGGATGTCCAACATAATATCTCTAGAATGGTGGAGAACTTCATGAGGGCAAAGATAGGCGAAAAAGTCCATAGTATAAATGGCCAAAATTTCTGGCAAACCTGATAAGCAAAAACTAAAAAAATCATTTTTTTTAATAACCTCATGAGCGTGTTTCTGGGGTCGAAATATAATATAATAGCTCCCGTATATAGCGTTTAACGCCTTGAGAGTAGCAAGGTACAGCTTGCTATACTAAAGCCGTTCGGTATACAAGGAAGGTAATGTGGCTAGCACTACGCTTCAACCGCCTATTATTACCTCAGGATTGTCGATCCCAAGTACTCATTTAAGGCTGAGTCGACCTAGGTAGCCAAACTATTTTTATTTTAAAAAAATAGTCGGCTGATGAAATGCCGGGTGTGGGAATCGAACCCACACCTTGAGATTGGTAGACGAGAGCCTGTACCTCTACGCCACCGGGCACCTGGGGTCGAAATATACTACCCTTAAAAATATTTGCACTTATTTAAGACTCACCCTCTATAATCTGCTTATAGTTGAACATAATTAGCAATACTACAGAGTAATCATCACATCATGACATTCTTAAACAATAATTAATTTGTTATTTGTGAAATAGACGTATTTTTCAATGCAAAAATTTTCTAATACAACTATAGTCGACATTGGACAATTACACAATTGTCAAGTTAGAAGATTGCAAAATACTGATCAATTAGGTAGTAGCAAATGAAGATGAAATAATTTGATTATCTCATGTAAACGTACATTCGACCAAAAAAATATGTAGAACTTCTTAATAATAATTTCAAATGTATCTTTATTTTTTTTTAATTTTTATTTGAAATCTGGTTTATTATAAATTATACCTTAATATGCATTTTGTTATCAAAATTTATTACGTAACTTCACCTATATTTTTAATACAGTCAAAGTCAGCTAAAAAACTGTAGTTTTATTAGCTTTGTTGGTAGAGCAGTTAGAAATAGTTTGCAACGATCCGAAACATGCCCCTGAAGTTTATAACATACGCAGGAGCAAAATTCGTTATTCCAAACCAAAAATTCAGCATTTGCTAAACAAAAATTTGGAGTTTCGAACTGATTTCTGATATTCAGAACAGATGGCGTATTAGTAATTTTTTTTTGGTTTTAATCGTGCTCATTTTTTAGTCAGTTACAAATTGACGCACGAGCAAAAACAAAATGATTGTGTGTTAACATGGATAAAACATTTAAATGGGGCAAAAATAACTTATATTTTTTACATTTTGAACTTAATGTGAACTCTCCAATACTAAGAACAACGTTTGTACCGGAATTTGAGATTTAATCAAATTTGATAAGGCAAGAATAATTTACAACAGCACAGGAAAAATATTTATTTTATTTGCAATTCAATAACGTCCTTGAAAAAAATAATAAGGAAGGAGTATAATGCTATCCATGTAGCTATGCGTGGTAGACGGAGGTGACGTCCTAGGATGGGGATCCTTGACAATTCTGTTTAAAGATTCATTTCACACATTAGAATTTGATTTGAAATTTTGTGGATTTATCAGTTTTTACTGAGCTAATTTTATGTTATTTATTATTTATTCTACAACCAGTAGTTGTTTATAGGTGGTATAGGTATCTAGAAGGAACTTGTGGCAGAACTTAAATTTTGCAATTTACTATGGCAAATACTCACTTTTGCAGTGACACTATTGCAATTTATCGAAACAGTCTGTAAAATAGTTGGTTGTGTAGCATGCGGTAGATCTCGAGGGAAATAATGGAATAACTTGTCGCACTAGTAAGTGACTATACCGGGTGCGTCTCAAAAGTGACTCACCCCTAAAAAAATTTAGATTTGGTATGTTAGTATATGACATAAATTAGGATTGATTGACGTATTCAATTGCTTTTGGTCACTTTCTATTGGGAAATGGCACACATGAAATGGCTAAAACTTTTGATTTTAAACGACACCCTCGGTATTTTTATAACTTTATTCGATAATACATATCATGCGAATGACATATCATATGTCAACTTTTGACATTTTCAAATATGATTTATTTGAAATTGCAATATGCGATTCATAAGGATAATTTGACTCAAAATGTTAAGTGTACCAAATTATTCTTAAAAAATGCTTTTTCTAAATATGCTAATGAGCCACACTCGTTCCATTTGAAAAAAAAAATGATATATGATTAAAAATATGATTTGGGCATTTTATAACAGACGAGGACAAGACACTAAAAACGTTAGACGATCAAATCTATTTTTCCGAGGCCCCTTGATTAAAAATTAGTGTTTTTAACACAGCTATGACACTCCCGATTGAAATTTTAAGATGAGCCACTTTTGAGACCCGCACTCGGTATAATATACATACGTGAACTAAGTCGATAATTTACGAGAGAGAGAAATTCACTTAAAATTAACTAATTACATGTATTTTTTCTTTCATTTTTTATTTTATTTGCTACTTGTCAAAAATTAGATATCAAAGTATTATATACGTCAATTTGACTTAACTGGTTCAGTAGCGTATCGGATGTTTTTGTTATTAAAAAATTAGTATAACTTATCTGAACTTTTATTAGAATTATTTAATTTATATTTTATAAAAATTTTAATATCAACCAACATTTATAGACAAAGTAAACGATTTTAACAACTAATTATTGACTCTATCCTACATCATATATTTCTAGGTTTTGATTAAAAATATAAGGGCACTGATAAACCGGAATTTAATTCGGTCAATTTTGATATGCTCCTTCCTTAATATTTTTATTCAAAGAGTAAAATAAATAAATAGTAAACACAACTGTCAAAAGTTAATAGTCATGTCATTCGCAGACTTACTCGTTGACATTTGAATTCAATTGATCGTTAGCAGAAATATAATCCACAACCAGGTTTGAGACCATTTGGAAACGATCGATGCGTAGAAATAAATTGACAATCGATTGAATATTACTCTGTGTGAACAAAGCATATCCTCATTAATTATATCAAGTTCCAAATCTTTCATTTCTGAATTATTCGTGTTTATATAAGATAATTTGTTCAAATACCACATCATCATTTGAAATATAAAGCTGTGGTGCTATTATTATTGTGTTCCAACAGCAGGTGGTGAATAATAGTGAGATAAAACAAACTTGTCGAGAACTTCACGTTTGCAACGTGTTTTCAACGTAGCGAACGTCAAATTTTGCGAAAAACAACCACCTCAATCGAATTGAAATTTATTGTTGTTATGATCGTTCGCCACACACGTTCACCTCCATGGCATACCGGCTGCGAACTCAATTATTTTGAGGGATGTTTCGACTGATAAATATGGCGCAGAGTTAATTACAACGTGCCGTTGAAAATGCTGGTTGCTTTTAATATGACGTACTACTTGGCGTGTTTTATACTCTACCCTCTATAAAATGTGCATTTTTGTTATTTATAGAGACAGGTGAAATGAGGCAACGCAGTATAGTACTTAATTTGTCTAAAAATGACCACAAAGCTAGTACACCGACATACGTCTGCGGCCTGGTCTCCCTGTGAATTTATACATATTTTATTAGAATTGATAATAATATATCCTACTCCTATATTTTAGGATTCTTGAAATGTGTTCATCTTATTTATTTTCACAATTATTTTTGTTTACTTGAATTAGTTGACTATTTTTGTTACTATAATAGTATATTGTTTTATTAGGCGTAAAAATGACACTTTCTGTAGCGAGGCTGTACGTTTGAGGGACGAGGATTAGCGAGTTTTACTCCGTTTTACTCCAAAAAGTTAATTTTACTCCGAATAAAACATGCTATTTTTTTTCAAACGTTCCAAATAATACAAAAATATTTAACAGTCATAGATTGTATGTAATTATATATCGAGATACTATGGTTACGGCTCGTTGAATTTGACACTTTATGTCAGTTTAATAATATATTTTCGTACTTTTATGCTTAGAAGCAAAAGTGCTTTACTTTTACGCCTAGATGTTAAAATTACTTTTTTATATTGTCAATCACGTCGTTTTATATTCTCAATCTCTTCTGACGCTGATATATTTATTTCACCAAATTAAACTTGCGTGCATAGAAATCGGCCCACTGTTAACTTTTGACTTTAACTGTGTCTTTTAGAATCTATTTATCAGACCAAGAAAAAAATATGAGCTGCTTCAAAGACAATTTAACATGCTTTAATATGAGTATAAATTTATCCAAAGTACTTATCGTTTATATGCGTAGAAATGTTAATGAAAGGCATTTGTGTAATGGTGACAATAAGAATAAAAAAACTTATCAAATATTGCAATTACTACTTTACTGTTACTTTGTAATCGAAATTTGCACATTGTTCTTTCATTGTTTGATTTGTTGTGTTTCATTGTTTGATTAGTGTTTCAATTTAATGCATACATCACGGAAAAAAGCTGCCAAAATAATCGCTTTAATTTAAAATGGACTTAAACAGAGAGCTGTAGCTCGGCAACT